GCGATATCACTGATGAAGCTAATAGACGACTAGGTTTTTTCCACTTCCACTTATGAATGTACAGACACATACAGTATAAAATATTTGTTTAATACAATTATTCTGAGTAAATTAGAATATGCTAGTAATATATGGGAACCTAATCATGAAAAATCTAAGCAGACTTTAGAAACAATACAAAACAAATTTCTGAAATATTTTTATTTTGAAAAATACGGAAATTCATCAGGTGTTATGTTCTATAGACCAATCAGAGATGAATTTTACATAAAATTACTAGAAAACAGAAGGATTATAAAGGGGATACTTCTCTTAAGAAAAAAATTTGGTGGCCACGTAGATAGCATTTTTCTCACCAGTCCAATCCGCTTTTCTGTTCCGCTGCCGCGACAAACTACCTTTCATGTCAATCAACATAAATCCCCTGTTGACAGAATTTGTTTAATGTATAATAAAAACACAAAGATCCTCAGGTTTGATATCTTTGAGGTATCATATTCAAAACTTAAATCTAACGTAAGAAAGATTTTCAATTCCTGATTCTGCTGACGACTGTAAACGTACCTACATTCACATCAGTTCACTAGTTTTTTTTATTTTTATTAACTCAGCTTTCTTGGTGCAGCCTAGATCTCCCAAGTACTACAAGATATAAAGTTCAAATAATATTGAGATTTCAGTTGAAATAAAATTTGAAGAAAACATAAACCATCCATCAATACAAGGCAGCATCTTACAATCGGATTACACCCTTGACAATATCCATTTCCACTGGCCCAGTGAACACACAATAGACGGTAAGAGGTAAGTCTTCTAAGAGAAGTGGTACTAGTGAACTGTTTTCATGGGGGTGGATTTATGAAAAGCGGAACACACTGTATATAAAATGTACATTAAATAATTTTCAGATATCCTCTGGAAGCTCATTTCGTACATTTTAAAACGAAAGCGAAGAATTTGCAAACTGCTCTAAACTTCAAAGATGGCGTTGTTGTGTTCGCTGTGATGTATGAGGTAATTTCTGTTCATATATAATATACTCACTATACTACATGAATTATATTATGTTGTTTCAAAAAGTGTTTTGTCAGTTTTTATGAGTTTACTTTGAACTGTTATATCTCAGTCAACGGGTGTATGTATGCAACACTTTCTAAAACTAAGAACTAGGAGTTCCACCATAATGAATCAACTGAAAACCAAGACCTTAGGTCAAAACGAAAATGAGCATGCGCCACATTGAAATTTTTTATGGCTGTCAATGAGCCGAGAAATTTCAAAACGACTGTTTCAAATCTGTACCTCTTGAAATAACATAAACAATTGATGAAAGAGCGTTGTTAATTTTTTGTTTATATGGAATTATTTTCAGTGGGGTTCAAAAAATAAGGTGAATTTTCATTTTTTTCAAAAAATATTAATTTTTTTCATAAATTTCTATTTTGTTCCTTCCAAACTAGTCCCTCACAGATATACCTAATACACTTGTGTCTGCCTTTTTTCAAATCATCAAAACACTTCTAACATGCATTTTTTGGTGCGATTCGGTTTTCATCTCCTCAATCGTCACAAAACGCCGCCCTGTCATTGATCTCTTCAATCTTGGGAAAAGGAAAAAGTGGCAAAGGGGCAAATGAAGTAAATACGGTGGCTGAGGCATGATAACGGTGCTGTTTTTGGCCAAAAAATTACGAACAAGCAATGACGAATGAGCAAGTGCATTATCATGATAAAAAAGCTATGAAATGTATTTCCACAATACCCGAAGTTTTCCTCGCATTGCTTATCGCTAACGGCTCATAACTTCAAGATAATAGGTAAAGTTCAAGTAAACGATATAGTGCAACCTACCTTCCAACAGCTCCCCGTTAATAATATAGTTAGGGAGCTAGCTAGTAGTTCGCTTATATAGGTAAGTGGGAAAGTAGGGATTTAAATAACAGAGTGATAATTGAAAATACTTCTGAATACTACTTACTTACATATATATATATATGATCGCTTCAAAAACACTTCACTAACTTTCTTCGAATGCTTCTGAGAATTCCTCTTTCATATTCTCTGTTTCACTATCACTGTCGTCATTCAAATCAATAATGAATTTATTTCCACCATTAATATGGAAGTGTCCAATCTCCATATAGTCTTTTTCAACTAAAATTCCTTTTTTAATACTTTTCTGCCAGTCTTCTTCGGTAATATTAGATAGTTCTTCTTTAATTAGCTCTATTACCTTCTTACAAAATTTTGTTTTCAGGCATGTTAGGCGTACACATTCTCGAACCATAAGTCCACCCTTTCGTAACTGTGTCGTGAGTGTCATACCAAGTTTCGTCCAAATAGAAAATTTGCCGTTATTCTTGTCTATATTCAGTTATTTGTTCTGAGTATTTGTTACGCAATTCCACTATTCTTCTGCTTTCCATAACTGCTTGATGGTTGTTTATTATTTTAAATCTAAATCTTAGTTTCTTTATCCAATTCTGAAGAGTTTTGTCACAGCAGCTCACGTTATGACCGGAAGTATTCAATTTCTTCCTTATGATTTCAGTTGTAGAAATCTCAATGCTTTTGTAACTGTCGTAGGTATATTGTTTTTTTCAATGATTTTATAAGATGAACATCTAAAGGTTTTGGTAATCCTGTATCACATCGCGTCTTGCGCTCATAAGGTTTGTGTTTGAATATTTTATGTACAGTTGAGAAATGAATTTCGGTCAAATCTGATGTTGCTTGTAATAGTTTGTTTCCCTCGAAACCAAACTTGAGATGTAGATTCTTATATATATTGAAACATACTCTCTGTGTTTCAACATTCAAATGCATCCGAATCTTATTCACTGTTATATGTTTTTCGCATTGTGCACCATCGATATTGAAATCACTACACTGGAAAAAGTCTGCATTGCTATCACACTCGTCCAAGGACGCCACAATTTTAACAAACAACAAAAATGTTAAGTAATTATAACTGCATCATTATCGAATTTCAACACCCATATCGCGATCAGTTCCTGAATTGAACACGACTCTTCAGCCAATCATAAAACTCGGTTAGTAAAATTAACCAATACGAACCGCCAATTCTATGGTCTATGTAGACTATTTCGCGTCCGGTTATTTTTTATGTATTGTTTTTTTGACCTTTGAGAGTGCCGGCAACTTTGAGTATGCACAATATCGTTTACTTCGACTATACTCCTTATTAACCGTACGATCATGTGACAAGAACTCCTGATGCACTTCGCCACGGTAATCGAAGAAAACAGTGAACTGAACCTTGATATTTGATGAACTTGGCCTTATTTTATTGGTCTTGACTCCATTGGGACGATTGAACTATGGTGTCATAACCATATACCCATACATGATTCGTCACCAGTTATGACCCTTTCAAGCAAATCGGGATCGCATTTGACGCTCATGCGACGTTTTTTTTGGCAAAAATCAAAAAATTTGAAAAAAACTCCCCTCCAAAACCCTCAAGCCCCAAAATTAAAAAAAAAATTGCATGGCATGGGCCAACCGATAAGCCGACATCCTCAGCAATTTCCACAATAGTCATTTGACAATTCTCCATACAATTTTTTTTCACTTTCTCAGCATTTTCATCGGTTTTTGATGTGCTGGTTGTCCAGGGCGAGCGTCGTCATTCACATCTTCTCGACCTTCTGTGAAGAGCTTGTTCTACTTGTAAACGTTTTCCTGACTTAGAGTACAATCACCGTATGCTACTGTCAACATTTCAAGTGTTTTTGAGCAGGTTATTTCATTTTTTACACAAAATTTGTTGAAAAATTCTTTGACCCACTTTTTCGATAGCAGAAAATCGACAAACACGTAAAACACTTCCAACATGTATATCTATCACCAACAAACTAAACATGCGAAATAGCTGAAACTATGAACATATGTTCGAGACCAGTGTACCAACATAAAAAAATTTAAAATCCCTAAAGGAATGTACATACCCCGCGAAATTTGAGCATTCACCTCATTTTTTCAACAATTCACATATAGTAAAATATCAAATGAGAATTATTGTGGTTATGCTAACAAGCGCATAAACTTTTTCCATTCTTAGGTGTAACATTAGTTACTAGTCATTAGGTTAATTTCTCATGTATTGCTGAAAAAAACCGCTATTGTTGTCCTATAGAGTTTCAATTGATTTTGATGCGTCATCATTATAGTTTGTTTTTCACTGAAGAATTCAAGTATATTGTTGTAAGTACCTATAATTGTGAATAGATTTTGAAAAACCCTAAAATGATGAATGACATCGCTTCAACTTTTTTCTGAAAAATTGTTTATTAATTCGTTTTTTGAAGAAGTAGGTACAGTTTCAATCAATGTCATTTTGAAGTTTTGAATTTTCACAGTTCTATTGAATAGAAGAATAGGATTGATTAGATGAATATCGGTATTGTAGTGAAAATAATTCATCAGAATATTCATCAGTTATTTTTTCAACAGGACCATTTTACTGTTGGTTGCGGGTTTCCAAATTTTGAATTCTTGGGAAGGATCAACTCATGAATACAAAACTGACGGAATCCCGTGTGTTGAAGAAATTAGTTAAGTAGTTGACGACAATTTTGTCAGAAATGATCTAAAAATGGAAACTCCCTTTTACGAAGTTTTCTGAAAGATATATCGCAAGAATACTCCAATCTTTTATCCAAGATGAAGCAAATAGTCTTTCATAACGCATTCGAGTATTATTGATGAGTATAGTAACATAGTAATAATAGATTTCCGAATTGTAATGGGTGAAAATAGAAGATAAAGCACACTATGAAAATCAATGATCGAATCCGTCATGATTATGTCAAAATATGGGTAATTGCTGTTCGTGCGGAAAAGGTAGTCCTTATCTGTACGTCCCTAATATCCTTCACAATGATTGATTGTGATATTTTCAAACAAACCCCAAATTACACAAACTAACAGAGGAAAACATCGAGAAGGAAAATACTTACAGAATATTTTTGTTTTAGGACGGAAATCCCAAAATTGGAACTACGATAGATTTGGTGAGTACAAATAAAGGGTTAAATTTTACTTTGTGAGACACTTTTGTATTTCCGCGATTTTTTTGAGGAATGATGAATACATGATGGCTGAAAATTACAACAGTTTTTATAGTCGGCTCAATTCGAGATACAGCGTGACAAAGTATGTATGATATCATCTCACCTTTTTGTTTTTCTTTTCCTGATTGATTCGGCTGTTACTTGATGAAGATCCATAGTAATTTCAAAAACTACACCTCACGATTTGATCTCTACAAATTTTGTGGAGATCAAATTGTGAGATGTAGTTTTCGAAAAAAAAATCTCACCACAATAAACGACTTTCATACACATGTTTCAGTTACTAGATCCCTTTTACACTATAATACACCTTTTATCATCTTTTTACATTCAATTATCGCCAAATTTCTTCTAACTTGAGTGGAGTTTCATAGTTCGTCTGATGCTTGGACAAATAACACTGCTCGCATTTGTAAATTAAACAAAATTTCACAATCAGGTTCAGAAAATATAGAAACTTTGAAACTATATTTTTGTATGGTTCTTGTTTATTAGATTTTGACGTTGATACCTCAGATGAAAACAGTAGATGACATGGATCGATGGAATATTGAAAAATATCGATACGAGTATTTGTTGAATCATTGATGCCTGGTTACACTTTTTCACCTATCACTAACCGCTATTTGGATTTTGGGGCGTGCGCAAAATGCGAAAACTAAGTAAAAATATTACACTGAGTCAGTGTAAAAGCCACAAAGCCACCTAATTCGTTTGTTCCGGTCGTCATATTATAAAATATTTCACGTTGGATTTGAATCGCTGGAGATTAACTCCATTTGGAAAAATGTTCACCGGAAGTTTATTCCACATAAACGCAATCCTCCAAATGAAAGAGTTCTCAAACAGTGAAGTTCGAGGTGTACTAAGTTGAACCTCAAACCGATGAGCAGCCACAGTCCGTCGTGTATTTCTGATACGTCCCGCTTTTGGTGGAATCAAGTGTGCCAAGTCACTTGAACACTTTCCGTGAAAGTATCTATAGAAGAGAGACAAATCTCCAACCTTTCTTCGATGTTCTAGGCTATCAAGGTTGCAAGTGATGTTCGCGTCTCCAATCAAGCGGATGGTTCTTTTCTGGATAGAATTCAGCAGCTTCAGGTTTTGTTTGGGGGAGGAGTTCCATACATTTGAACAATACTCCAAAGAAGGTCTGATCTGAGCTTTATAAAGCATCAAAAGTTGTGGAGTTTTCTGTTTTCTGGTTTAGGAACAGTGTTTCAATCTTTCGAGAAGCGGCTTTTGTAATTCCAGCGACATGATTATGCCAAGACATATTGGTGTCAATTTTAACCCCCAACAAACTTATCTAAACAGAAAGTGGAATTATCTGACCTGACATTACTTACCTGGGGACTTGCACCCCAATTCGAAATAAATTCTAGATCCTCATTAAGATATGCAACCTCCTGCTGTCGGTGAAGACTTGCATCTGCCGCCGATGTCCCGGAATCCAAATGGAATAACGAAACAAGTGTGCTGTCGTCAGCAAAGCAATATATTTGATTCTTGGTTTTTTCCAATAAGTGGTTGATATACAATAAAAAGAGGGTTGGAGACAATATGGATCCATGGGAAACACCAGCGTTGATGGTAAAAGTATCTTATAATGTTATCCACATTGGTGCTGAAGAGGCTTTAAGGCAAGTGTTTCATTCCGAAACATCGATGCATTCAGAATGACAGTGTTCCATCTAAGTGAAATTTTACCTCTCTCAATTTTACCTCTTTCATATACTATATTGTGTAGCAATCCTGTGATTGATATCTGATTCAATTCCATAACGAATGATTGGAGTACAAACTGAATAAAGTATTTTTTCTTTCGTGTAATTCAATGTTCATATGAAAGTAGTTGTTTTGAGACGGTTTTTTCTTCCAGTTTGTGTCTGAAAGCGATACACCCATTTCCTTGCTACACCCATTTTCTTGCTAGCTCCATAACTATAGTTTTTTGTTGTAGATAACTGGCCACTAGAATGTAGGCTGGGCAAAAGTCAATCGCCAATACCAATAAACAAAGATGATGTGGTGAAGCAGACCATGCCTTTGTTTAATTTTATCAATTACGATATCCCATTGACCGCCACACTCGATAATACGGGAGCAACAGGTGATAATATTTTTTTAAGACGTTTAATTATTATTTTTATATGGCTGACCTTATTTGTGTAGGAGACCATTTTTTTTTCGTAGGACCATGTTGGTTGAATAATAACGTGAAACTGAGAAATATGTGTAATAAAAAGAAAAAATAATATCAAATGTTGTTACAATATAAAACAGAATTCAAATATTTCTATAATTCTCATCAAACCTACCCGAGTAACATATTTTCATTCAAATATTATAGTCACATCATTCATAACTCATGACTTTTGATTTGTTGGATTTATTTCCGCTCGGAATAGCGGAATGACCATTAAACAATTGAAAATTTGAGAAATAAATTGAGTTTACTTGGTCTGAACAAATCAACTATGTATGCAAAAAGTCAAACCAAGCATGTTTCGCTATTTACAGGCTAAAGTATACCCTGAGCAAAGAATCTCTCTAGTCAATATTTATATTAAGCTCTTGCTCATTAAACAATTAGTTTGCAACGGAATAAAGCCGGATATTCACTAATCAAAAAAGAATAATACGACTGATCAAATCATCTAAAAAACAATCTGTTCAGGACAGTCTCAAACTCTACACTGTAGGTTAATGAACTAACACGTATCAGAAAACAACTACTCCCCTGGCTAATACCACGAAGGGCGTTGGATTGATCCGACAGGTGTCAGAGCAGGAAGTTATTCCTGCTGTTGACGATACAACTCCCGCAATAGATTATCAGTTATTGGAACACATTTGCAGACCGGTTTCGGGCTGTTTGGCCACTCGTTAGTACAAGATAGTGTCTATCATCAACAAAAAGTCGATGATTTCCGATAATTGAAAATCGAATTCCTTCAAAGTTCATTCCTCGAACTATGTTGAAGTGAACAACGAACAGCAGGTTTGCCATCGCCCCATGTGCCTGTGAACGAAGTAACCAACCGCATATCCGAAATTTGTCCAATTCCTGGTAAGTATAAGGAAAACAATTTTTCACATATTGTCAGTGGGCATACTCGAAGACTGGCTATAAATCAAATCATCTAAAGGAACAATTCGTTCGTGCCAGCCTGATTCGTTGTATTCTGATAGGTGTCAGTCCAATAACCTACAGTGTAGGGAATATTGTAGGTAGCCTGCAAAATTTGAACATTCAACTTATTTTTGGAACAGTTCACGTATTCATAGAAGATTGAAAGTGTTAACTTGTTTCAAAACTTATATTTGAATCATATAATTATGTTTCGATTACTTATATGAACATTTGAAATATATTCTTTGGAAGAATATACAGGGTGTAACTGAATAAGTGTAAAACATTTGAGGAGGTGATTCCTCATCGAAAAAAAGATAGGATCTTTCATATAAAGAAACTTCATTGGAGCATCCCTTGTTAAGACACAGCCCCTTAAAGGGGGTACTTAAATTTGTATAACAATTTTTTCACAAGCACT